TCCACAGTGACAGCAGGACAAGGCCTCGGTCCCAGAGGTGAGAGCGGGAACAAAACTTAGGGAGTGAAGAGCAAGGGGCCGAGGACACGCTGGAAGCAGCACCGGCTCCGCCGGGCAGGGCGGCCGCCCTCAGTCGGGGTCAGAGTCTGCGTCGGAGGAGAGCTGGCCCTCCATGCTCTCGCACACGGCGTCCTGCAGGGAGGTGAGCTGGCCCCGGGGACTCACCCCCATGGGCTGGATGACGCGGTGCCTGCAGGGAGAGGGGTGCTGGGCGGCGTCCTGCTCCGGTGGCCGCCTTTGCCCCCCAGGCTGCCCCGCTCACACTGTCAGCCAGGCCCGAACCCTAACTGCTGCCCAGTGGCCTGGACGCCCGAGGCAGGCTCTTAGTTTTTCTAGGCCTCAGTTCCCGTAATCTGTAAAAAGGACATAATGCTGCACCGGCCTGTGCACTGAAGGGTTCCGGGTTCGATTCCGGTCAAGGGCCTGTGCCCAGGTTGCGGGCTCCATTCCCAGTAAGGGGCGACCAGGAGGCAGCCAATCAATGTCAATAAACATATTTTTTTAAAAAAGACATAATGCTGACCTCGACTCTAACCACCGATCCAGAACAGGTGAACCCTGGGTTAGGGCTGGACCTGCTCAACCCACACAGGCGGCCACAGGCCCCCGGACGTCAGACCTGGTCAGATGGGATTGTAGTGAGGCCCGGAGGCCGCCCAGAGCCGCCGCGCAGGGGCCCAGGGCCCGCGGTGGGTGTGCCCCTCAGCCTCTCTCTTCCTGCAGGTCAGAGCTCCGGTGCCGTGGAGGAGATGCTAGACCAGGAGAACAGGCGGATGGCTGATAGCCTGGCATCCAAGGTCACCAGGCTCAAATCGGTCAGTAGTGGGCCACTGTCGCTCCAGCTGGCACCCTGGAGCGGGGGCCGAGGGGGTAGAGGCCTGGAAGGGTTTCATGGGCTTCCCACCTGTGTGAGGCCCAGGTGACACTGGACCTGACCCCTGGTGGTGGCAGGGTCTGTTGGTCTCGTTGGGGGGTCAGGTCCTGTGCAGTGGGGATGCCCTGGCCTGACCCTCCTCCCTCTGTGTCCTGACCAGCTGGCCCTGGACATCGATAGGGACACGGAGGACCAGAACCGGTACCTGGACGGCATGGTAAGGTCTGCGACTTGCATGCGTGTCTCGGTCAGCCCTGCCCTCTGCCCTGTGCCCGCTGGGCAGCCCTGGGGACCGGGGAGGCTCTGCCCGCGTGACCGTGCTGTGTTCCTCCCCCAGGGCTCGGATTTCATGAGCATGACAGGCCTGCTCACTGGGAGCGTGAAGCGCTTTTCCACGATGACGCGGTCTGGGCGAGACAACCGGAAGCTGCTGTGTGGAGTGGCCGGGGGCCTGGTTGTGGTCTTCTTCATCCTCTACTACCTCCTGTCCAGAGCAAGGACGTGAGCCAGTGGAGCTGGCTCCGGGGGTGCCCTGGGCAACGAGGGTCTCCTGCCCGGTGCCTGGCTGCAGAGGACCTGCTACCTAACACTGCTTTGACATGGTGACCGTGGCTTAGAGTCTCCTCCCGTGTGGCTGGGAGACCAGCTGCCTCCGACCTGAGCTGTGTGGCTGGCGCAGGGGCCCCAGGTGCTCGCGGCACCGGCAGCCTCCTAGGAGCAGAGCAGCCGGGAACCCTGGACATGGTCGCCCGTGGCCCGCAGCCCTTCCCCCGCCCTCGGCTCTGACACCCCATCCTTGTCTGGGAAAGGCCGCGTCTGCTCTCAGGTGCCTGGGTCTGACGGAAGGTGAGGCTGCGAACCTCAGATCAGCGCCATCTTCCCACGTGGGCTCCAGCCCAGGCTGGCAGTTCCTCCTGCCCCGGGCTGCCGAGCACAGTGGGGTGGGCGGCGGTGCTGAGGGCCGCCGCTCGGCCTCGATCTCGGCCTCGGCCTGCCCTCCAGTCCCGCGGCTGAAGCCAGACCTCCGGGGAAGAGCAGGTGGTGCGGATGAAGGAGTGGAATGCAGTCCGGGCTGGGGCCCCAGGCCCCAGCTTTCTGGATCTCGCGGACGTGTATCCAAGAGCAGAAATGCACGTTTCCTCAGGATTGAGGATCCACTCAGAGATGCGTTTCCTGGAGACCAGGGCTCTAGAAGCAGGTCCCTTTGGCAATTCAGAGTCGGGCAGTGTGTGCGTGTGCGTGTGCGTACACATGTGCGTGCACGTGCGTGAGGGCTTCTATGGGTCTTGACAGCGTGTAAGGAGCCTTTTTGTAGGACCTGTGGCCACTTGAGGGTCCCTGGGTAACTCCCTCTGCACCAAGCCAGCCCTTCCTCCCCTCCGTGCTGTGAGGGAGCTCTGAGCCAGGCCTCCTCCCCAGCATCTGCAGCCTGTCCTCCCGACGGCCTGTCCCCGGGCCCTGACTTCCCACTTGGCAGGCCCTGTGCCCACACAAACCAAACCCCAGGCCAGCGGCTTCTCACCCCAGTGCCCTTGTCCTCACACAGAGCCAGTTATTGGCTCTGTCCTTCACGCCTTTGTTCCTATCCTCTGCCTTCCCGGCCTCTCCCATGACTGCCCGCAGGCTGTGGGCCCACTGTCCGCCCGCCTGCACAGTCACCCCTGGGGCTTGTTGGCTCCTGCCATCGCTGCTCCTCCCCGCAGGCCGAGCCTGTCCTCGTGGTCACTGGTGTCCTCCAGCGCACCTGGCCGGCCCCTCGGCCTCCGGGAGGGTCCAAGGGCTCTGCTCTGTCTCCCTGCCCTCCAGCGCACGCTCATGTCACTGAGCTCTTGAACCCACCCGTCTCTGGGGCTGCTTCCCTCCATGATGGTCCAGCCTGTGACCCCGGGCACCTCAGCTCTGGCTCAGCCTCGGCTTCTCTCCCGTGAACCCCGTCATGGGGGCTTGTGCATATCACCACGCTGCTGCTGCTGCCTGCCGTGCCCCGCCGGTCCTGCAGACAGCCGAGCCCGCGCTCCGCGGCCCCCACGCCTCCCTGGCCTGCGGTGCTGGCCTCGCCCGGAGAACATGGCTCTGCTATGGCACAAGGTCACCACGCCCCAGGGCTCTGCCTCGCGCGGGTGCGAATGAGGAGTGCGGCTCTGTCGGGCGGCCTCCGGGAGCGTCCTGTGCTTGCCCACCTCCGTCGGTCTCCAGGCCCTGCAACTCCAGCCGTTTTGGGGCCTGGACTTCCCGTTCTTGTGTGAGGGTGGATTCCGTGAAGGCGGCACGTGGGCTGTCACCCTCAGCACGGGTGTGTGTGCACACGGCACCTAACTGTGCTGGGAGGGCTGCCGACACTGAGCCCTCAGAGCAGCCCATCTCGTGAGGATGACCTGCCAGGCTCCCCCACAACTCAAGAACAAGACAATAAAAATTTGGAATAAACAGCCTCATTTCCCTGGGCTCGAGGGCTTTGTGGCACTGACCCCAGTCCCTGGGTGCTGTGGGCACTTGGGGCTGGACCCGCCTGCTTCCCCTCTTGGGGTTCTCCCAGGTCCTTCGCCTCCTCACTCGTTCCCTCAGATGCGTGCTCTGCTCAGGTTCAGTAACTCAGCCAGGGACAGGGCTGCATCGCCTGGTATGGGGCCAGTGAGTGACCGCACGACAGCTGACACCTGCGCTGTCCTGTGCTGCCTGCCTGGCTGGGATGTATCAGGGCACCCTACCAAGTCACTCAGCCATGGCCGGGTTGCTCAGTGGCTTGGGGGGTAACCCTGAACACCAGGAGGTCACGGGTTCGATCCCGGTCAGCGTGCATGCAGAAAGCAGCTGGCTGGTGTTTCTCACATTGCTGTTCCTCCCTCTCCCTGTCTCTGAAATTAATAACATATCCTCCTGTGCGGACTAAAAAGGCCCCCCAAACGTCAATCAAATCGCAGTGAGCCCGGCTGGATGGCTCTGGTTGAGCATCGACCTGTAAACCAGGAGGTGGTGATTGGATTCCCAGTCAGGGCACGTGCCCGGGTTGTGGGCTCCATTCCCAGTGGGGGCCGTGCAGGAGGCAGCGGGTCGGTGATTCTCACCATTAATGTTTCCCTCTCTCTCTCTGAAATCGATAACAATATTTTTTAAAAAGTCACAGGTGACCGATGCCCCAGTTAGTGGCCGGGCCAGGACGCCAGGCCTCACCTGGACAGGCTGGCTGCATCACCGGCGGTTGCTCCCACGGCTGCATGGCAGCGCTGGGTGAGCGGAGGTCGGACGGACCAGCTGCCTAGGTGCTGCACCCCACAATGTGGTACTGTTGCTGAAGGGGAGCAAGGTGGGGTGGGTGTCCTCTGTGTGCTGTGTGGCCCGGCCCAGAAGTCACCCAGCAGCAGTGCGGGGAGGTCACTGCAGATTCGAGGGGCGGAACAGACCCCTTCTCTGGGGCGGGGAGAGCCCATCGGGAAGGGAGCGTGTGGGAGAGGCACGGGTGTGCCCATGGGGTCAGGGCAGCCTCGCCCCCCAGCCCTCCTGTCTGCCCAGACCCCAGGCTGGCAAGGCCGGCCCCTACCCAAGACAAGTCGATAGCAAATGGAATCATGATTTATTATATGTGGGCACACAATTAGCAAGGGGGTGCATAGAAAAATGTCACAATTGTCCAAAGAAGCGTGCTTCGGCCTGCGGGCCAGGTAGGCGGTGGCTGGGCTCTGCCCGTCCCTGCCCCGCCCGGGGCTAGTCCACCTGCAGGATCAGGGGGGTCATGTAGTCGGAATGTTTGATGCCGAAGGTGACGATGGGGGCGCAGGGCTTGGTCAGGGTCACCTGGCGGAGGAGAAGCTGTGAGGGGCGGGCACCCCTGCCCCCACCCCACAGGCCCATCTCCCGCCCAGCCAGTCTGGGCCGGGTCTCCCTGGCCCCACCCTCTTCCCTGCACCCCTCGGCCTCCCAGACCTTCTCGGGGCTGTGGGCTCCTGGGCCTGGCTTGAGGGTCTTGTCCCCCGGGGGCTCCACTCGGGCCGCAATGGTGTACTGTGGAGCCTTGAACTTGGTCACCTGCATGTCGGTCTGGTGGTAGGCCGCGGGACCTGGGGTCTGGGAGGCGAGAGGCTCAGACAGCTTGGCTGCCAAGGCCCGCAACCAGAGGCCAGGGCCAGTGCTGGCCGGGGTTTCCGGCCCAAGTCACTGTGCCTGTGGGTCAGGGCCCGCCTGTCCCCACAGCGTTCCCCATGGCAATGAGCCCCAGTGCTGTGGGTCCCTCTGTATGGACGCCCCCCTCCCCCCATTTCAGCCTTGTGGTGGCAGTGACGCCCCAGCGTGTGGCAGCCCCGGCTCATCCCTGCTGCGAGCCGTGAGAGGCCGCTGCCCGCTGGGACCTGTCCTGTGGGCCTGGCAGTGGGCGGGCTGGACAGCAGGGCCGTGGGAGTGGCTCAGCATAAGCCCACCCCCAGAGCCCTCCCCCGTGCTCACAGCTCAGGGTGTCCTCCCTGCCTCCTGCCAGCTGCCCTTAACGACACAGCCCCGGGGACCCCTTCGCGGCTCAGCCCTCCTCCACCCTCAAATGTGGCCCAGGCACGTGGCCCACACCCAGGGGGTGAAGCGA